CACCTACTATACAGTGAGTGGATTTCATTTTATTCCACTTGTGAATCAAACACTAATATGATATAGGAATATTGAAAAGAAACTATAGCTTTATATCGAAATATTGCATAAGAAAGCTATTTTGCTATTCAGGGAAAAATTAATAGCTCAGAAGAGAGAATCATACTTATTCCAGGTTCAACAGCAACGGATGAGAGTTTGGTCTTCATGTAGCATGGATTGACTTGCTAAAACTGTCCCCCATTGCTAATGCCGATTAATTATCTGATGAACAAGTTTCTCTGGCAGATGTTTTGCAGCCTGAAAAAAGGAAAAATCCAGTTGAGGGAGAATCTAAGACCAAGTGGCTCATACAAAGTTTGAACAGAGGAGGAATCTAAGAGAGCAAACCTGGAAATCTCTCATATGCAAAATTGGTTCGCACCCAATATCCGCAACTGATTTTCCAGTTACTGTGTGGAGTTTGAATCTCTTGGCTTCGTAAGCTGAAATTGCACTTTTGTTATCGGGCAGGTCTTGACAAACTTTCATAAGAGAGCTGAGAGAATTCATCTGGACAATCCCAAATAAGACAGTATGAGAATTCTAGACAAGGGTCTCATTTCAGAAAGATTGTAGGTAATTTTCTTGCAAGCGGAAGAAAATATATCTTACTCAGAATACAAGTTTGATCAGATCAAATGAAATGAACACAACTTTCATCCTAAACAAGTATTGGTTCATCTCTTCTTTATTTCATTCTATCGTTTAACATTTTTCTTCCAAGGGTGTGCATTGAATATATATGGATATCTTTAAGTATTGATTGTTTCAGCTCGTTTTCAGAGCTTTTCTGAAACGATTTTGTTGCCTCTGCTTTTGTCAATTCATTTCCACCAACATACTATAGTATTTCCATTAGTCCTCAAAATATGGATCCATTTCAGAAACGATGTTTTGGTACCAATTGGTAGATTCCATGGTTCCAGTCTACCGAAGAGTACACTGAACGGCCAAAAAGTACATGGAAATACAAGTGGAAATAAAGTTCTCTAGATGATTCGAGGAATCTAAAGGCCTTACCATGAGCTAATCTCAACTCAAACTCTCGATTATAATAATACTCCTCATAAACCTCTTCTCTTATTTATAACCACTTCCTGGTAACAATTCTCTCGTTACAACTCTAATGGACTTCTATTCCACATGCTAAACCCAACCGGTCACACTAAAAACACTCCAAATGCCTAACAAATCCTTAGCTCCAACTGCAACTGTATTAGTGGATGTGGATCAACCCTGTACTTTATAAGCTTTCAAGGCATTTACACACTCATGGAAGAGAAGATGACTACCAGCCGACCAAAGTAAAATTTGACCAATCTCAGAAAAAATTAACTAGCAGACTAAGGAAACAATTTAGGCATATGGTTCGATGGAGTTCTGTTTCTTTAGGGACTAGTAGTGGTGGTTTTAGTTGATGATGGGTGAGGTGGGTGGGTCGCATGTGATGTTCCGATTCTTGAGTACTCGTTTGTCTCTTAGACAGATTTGCTTTGTTTGTTCGTCCTCCCCACCATTCTTTCCCACTTGGTAAAAAAAAGTTAGGCTTCTCATCCTTTTTGAATGGATCTTGTTCCTCTAAAAAAATTTGAGGGAGGAAAAAGCAGGGTTGGTTTCAATTGTTTCAAATTCAACAAGATTATCAATATTGAATGAGTGGATTGCATGGGAACAAAAATTACTTGGACGCTAAATTAAGTAGAAACTCTAACCTTCATGTATGGACAAGATGCACAGCCACCGTGAAGAGAACATCCCTCCCCACTGGCAATTCCAGGTACTACAGGTAAATTGATCTCCCCGAGTGCAACCGATTGCTGGCCTAGGGATGAGCTTGATGATGTTTTTGTCACCGAATCTGATGATACAGGAAAGACAATCTCCACATTGACCGTTGCTCCACCAGAAGTAGATTTTGTAGAACTTAACAGATTACGAACAGCTGCAACAATTGAAGTTATCATTCCTGATTCTGTTCCCAACACAAATTGTAGGTGATCATTGACATTTCTTTCTAAAGCCTCTTGCACCCTTTGTTTTATGAAATCTAATATATTCTGGGTGGAACCTACAATTCCCATTCCTCTTCTTTTTGCCTCCATCGCTAAAGCAAACATTTCTCCGGGGACTTCAAAGTGAGCAGTAAGGAATGCATCACAGTACATTTCATTTATCTTCTCCACAACTTCATGCCCAAAAAGATGATGTACAATGCACGTACCTTCCTGAAATTAGAAGACATCAATTATCAAAAAGAAATAATAATAATAATCAAGGGGTCAACCAGGTCAGTGAAGGTGCCGCAATCAATGCTAGCTGGAAAAGAAGTATTAAAAAGAAGGTGCCAAAATTTTCAAAGGTATCATAATCCAACAAAATACTCGAGGCACAAGATTTATGCATGCACACTCAATCACAGCCTATGGTTAAGAGAAAGGGTGAAACGAGAGTAAAAACAGGGAAAAGCAAATGTTTTGAAAAAACCTGATAATAGTGCAGACGAGGGAGCAATGATCTAATTGAGTCTCTATTATGTTTTGGATGAATCTTTGCAATTTCTTCATCTGTCATCTTGGTCATCTGCTGCAACAGTTCTACAATATTTGCACCCATGTAGGAATCAGGCCCATACCAAACATTTAATTCTGGTACTTGAGCAAAAGCCTGAGACAAAGCAAAGAAAATATGAACATTGAGAAGTAAGATAGTCACCCAGGGTATTCTAGAGTGCATTTTACTTGCTGCTAAAAGATAAATAAGAATTAGAATGAATACGAAGGAAAGAATATTTTCTACCTGCAAAATTGTCTGCATGACATTTGAAGAAGTACAGGTAATTGTTGGCACAAGCTCATGAGCGTAGGCTTTAGTTTCCAATGATGTATTTATGTAGATAACGTGCAAGGACGGAGACTTGCTTGAAGCTGTTTCAAGATAATTCATATAAGAAGGAGTAGCTGCAGCATCAGCCAAAGAACAACTAATCCGTTCATCTGACATCCTGTACACTCCTACCTGCATATTTATGGAATCAATATTAATATCTGAATTGTTCCACCACTAAATAATTGAAGCTGCAACATCAAAATTTATATATAGTACGTGAAAAAAATATTGCAACTTAAAGTTAACAAACAACTTCTAGCGGAGAAAATTATTAAATTAAAGATGCGATACTGGAATACTATAAAGGCCTTAATAGTTCATTAAAAGGAATCTTTAGGGACATCAGGCATGGGAAGGTTTGGATATCAGGAACTGGAAGTTGTGTTTTGAATGAGTTTTACTGCCAGTTCTTTTTGTATCTATAGACAACGATGAAAAGTAAGAAGAAATTTGAGAGAAAAAGATGCACCTCTCCGAAGCCAGCTTGATCGAGAATTGCACGCACATTTTCCGACATGAAATCTACACCAAGTACTGTTACAAATTGGCATCCAGCTTTTGCCATCTTGACGGCCATATCTGCCATTACCAATGAATCAGATATGTAAATGTGAGGCCATTCCTTCTGAGCAGCAGTTAAGACCCCTTGGACTTCAGGATCCATGTAAAAGTGCGCAACAATGCCAATTCTTTTCTCCTTGAGCACTTTCACAAGTTCTTTGACCGTAGAATCATTTGGGAGCAAATATCTTGCCTGCAGAGAAACTTAATAAATGCATTGCTACTAGAAAACAAATTACAAGACAGAATGGCAATTAAATACAATGAAAAAGGTGATGTAGTAACATCCAAAACTGCCACCCAGAACAAACAAATCATCATCGAATCAGACAAAGTTCTAACTTTTCCAAAAGTCATAACACACGTCAACCATACTACAATGAAAAATGTCTCATGAATGTTTATAGGCTAAGCACGTGCTTTAATGAGCCAAATAACAAGAAGTAAAAAAAAATAAGGAAGATTCCCATGCAGGGATTTCTATCTCCACAAAATAGCAATGTACATTGAATTAACTCCAATATCCCTCGACTGTTTTAACTCCGAGATTATTGTTCTACGATTTGCCTAACCCTTTTACCTAAACTTTGTTTGTCTTTGATAGTTAATCCTTTCACCTCACTTAGCTCTCTTTCTTATTTTCATTCACACTTGAATCTTATAAGTTACTCCATTTCAGTACACCACAGGCTAATATCAGTAAAAGTTTTAACTCGTGAAATGAAAGCTAATTCTCCACTTACACGACAATGATTTTATTTTTTTCTTTTTTGATAAGTCATTTGGCAGTCTAAACGTCATTTTCTGCTTCCTTCCATCATCTCTACAAGTATTTAAGGTTTAGTTAACCCATAACTTATATTAAATCAGTAACCTGAGCTTCTGCATAACTTCCTTTTGCATGAACCCCATCAGCTGTCACAACCAGAGATGGAAACGGTTCAAATGGGGACTGCCCTTCAAGCTCCGCAATCAAAGCCTTAGTCCTTTTTTGCATACTAATCAAAACATTGTGCCAAGTATTTACTCTTGATCGCTCTCCACCCGGCAATCCCACATTTAGAGCGGCCAAATCGTCCGTCTTCATCCTCAGAACATCCTCCGGCAGGGCACCATCAAGCACTGAAACTAAACACGAGCAAAACCCTTTCGAGATCTCCGAATCACTATCCGCAGCGAACCTCACGTTACCCTCCTGGTCAATCCTCACCTCCAACCACACCTGCGCCGTACACCCCATGACCCGATTCGAGTCAAGCCTCGCCGCATCATCTAAAGGAGGCAGAAGGCCTGCATACCACAACAAACGTTTCACTCTATCGATCGGCTCGGAGATAGACTCGAATTCCTCGATCAGGCGCTGTAGCTTTAAAGGAACGAGCTCAGTGGTAGACGAGGGGGAGAGGGTCGCAGCGGAGCATGAGAATCGACAGTCGAGACTTCGGGTACTGGATTTCAGAGGATTGGCATCAGGATGGGGCGCTTGAATACATTTAATGGCCTCGAAGAACGGTGCCCGACTCTTTTGAGCGAGAAACTTGTCACAATAAGCAAACTTAGAATTGGGTTTCCAACAAAAAGAGAAAATAGAAGAAGAGGTAGCCCTACTCGCCATGATCCCAGAGAACTCCATTGCAGGGAGGGGGAAGAGGCAAAATGCAAAAACGGCAAGAAGAAGAAGAAAGGGCCGGCGGTCAACTAGTAGTGGGGCAAAAAGCGCGATCCTCTAGGGCAGCAAAAGCAAAGTCTGACACGGAAGCATAGAGAGAGAGAAAGAGAGGCGGAGCGAGCAGGGCCATTAATTATACAAGGTCTGAAATCGTACTTACAGATGACGACAATGGCTGTTCTGCTGGTTCTCTTAGCCAACCAAAATAGGCTCCAATTAATCCGTAACAATGAATTTTGAAGCAAATCAAATGAAAATTCTACACAAACGAAGAAATGGGATTATGCATCTGTAGTTACGAGAAGTGCATGGATTAGTACTAGTAGGAAAGTTCATTAGATTAGAAAGAGCAAAAAGAGTATTTTAACAAACAAGACAAAAAGCCGCCATAAAAATGAAAGCGATGGCGGAAACTGCACAAAAGCAGATCGTCAATCATCATCGTCATCCTCATCAATGGAAACTTTCATTCTTAAAAATTAATTTTTTATAGTTTAGTCTCTAATATTTTTAGATTGATCTATTTATTCCATATACTTTATTATTTTCTTTTATTTTTCCCGCATTAGGTCAAGTCAAACGTCAAAATTCACCTGAGCCATTCGGAATCTACCGTCTCGGCGCCGCGGGAATGGAGCTCTGCTTCAGAAGCTCAAGGAGCCAACAAGTAAGCTTTCTCGCTCTCTCTTTCTGGTCTCTCTTCATTTTCCTCTTCTATCACTTGTTGAATAGAGCGGAACAAGGTTGACTATAGTTCCTGAGTTCAATTCCGACTCCAATAAGCTTACTATGGAGGAGAACAAATCGTGATACTATGATGATTTATTTGTATGTTTTGTGACAAAGGAAGAAGGAGATTGGATACATACAAACAGGAATAGTTTCTTCGAAAATTTTGATCTGGTAACCAAGGAGGAACAGGATTAACAAAATAAAATATAACGAGAATGTGTATTACAGTAATGGACATAAGGGCTGAAAAGAATGTGCGAATGAACAGCATTCAGACATCTGATTGAATTGAATATGGTTCTACTGGCTTAAGAAAAAGGGGATGTTTCTTGGTGAGAGCGAGCCCCATATCTTCAGTCATGTCCAAATCGCTGGCTATCAAATTGTCATTAGGCAGCTTCCAATCAAACCACTGTAGAAGGTTAGCCAACACATATTCAATTGATGCAAAAGCAAAATTCATCCCGGGACAGATTCTTCTCCCACCACCAAATGGGAGGCAGTGACAGTCTTGTCCTTTGAAATCAACTGGGTTGTTCATAAATCTCTCTGGGATGAAATCCTGTGGGTTTTCCCAGATTTTGGGATCCCTTTGAATCGCCCAAACATTGAAAAATACTCTGGTTTTTGATGGAATACAGTAACCTCCCAACTTCACCACTTCAGATGTTTCTCGAGGTAATAGTAGAGGAGCTGGTGGATGGACTCTTAGGGATTCTCTGATGACACATTTTAGGTACTCCATTTGAAAGATGTCGTTATCATCTATATTTGACTTTTTTCCCACCACTCGTCTTACTTCTCCTTGTGCTTTCTTCATTATGGTTGGATTTCGCGCTAGCTCTGTAATCGTCCATTCCAATACTGATGAAGTAGTATCCGTTCCAGCTATAAAAATATCCTGAAACAATAAAAGTGCTAGATTGAGCTTTTTCTATTTGATGATGTCTGTGAGAATATGTGGTGAGTTTGTGTGGGAAAGAGAAGGACCTGTAACACTGATTTTAGACTGTCTTGAGTAAATTCAAAACCGAGATCATCCATCTGCTGAACTTGGAGCAGAATGTCCACAAAATCTTTTTTATCGTCTTGACTACTTTCTCGTTTCTCTGTCTTGTGTTCTGTAATCAACTGTTCAAGAAAAGTATCAAGTGCTCCAGAAGTTTCCTTCAGTTGTCCAATTAAGCCTGTGATATTGTCAACCCATCCAAAGCCTGGGTAGAAATCTCCCACACTGAAAGTCATAACTAACTTAGCCATCTTTCTTGTTAGTTCACCAAATCTGCTCTTCCCATTTTCATCTTCAAACTTTTCTCCAAATATGCATCTTGAAACTATGCCGTTTGAGGTTGAGGTGACCAAGTCACTAAGATTGACAGATAAATCAGCAGAGCTGGCTTTATGTACCTCATTTACCAAGATTTCAACTTCTTCTTCCCTCACATACTGAAACTCATGTACTCTTTTTTGACTTAGAAGTTCAAGAATGCAAATCCTTTTTAACCCTCTCCAGTACTCCCCATACGGAGAGAAGCCGACATCTTTGTATCCGTAGAAAAATAAATTGGCAGCGGTTGATTTGGGCCTGTTAGAGAAACTGATATCATGACTCTTAAATATCTCCCTGGCCATATCTGCTGAGGAAACCACAAGAGTTGGAGTCCATCCCAGTCGCAGAAACATGAGAGAACCATACTTTTCAGAGAGAGCTTGAAGCGAGCGATAAGGATGTCTGCCCAGCTGATGAAGGTTTCCAATTATTGGTAGCTTTGGTGGTGATGGAGGTAAGTTCCCTTTTCTGACTCTAAACAACTTGAGAAAAAGAAGGAATAGTAGGAGAAATAGGGAACAATTCAAAAGATTGAACTGATCCATATGATAGACAAGTTGTAGA